TATAATACGTAATGGGGAAAACAAAATCAAAATAGTTTTGAAACTTGATTATTGAGCGGAAAGATCTAAAAATATTTTTAAGGGCAAACTCTATTGAAAATTGATTTAAAATCGAAATCGTCCAAAGCAGGAAATAAAATCGAGATTTTACTTTTTTGCCATATCGCCCAGCCCTAGCTCAGACTGACAACAAACAGGTTTTATATCTCTGCGATCGCTCTTCAGCAGTGGTGAGTTCAGGTGGTGCGGTGATGCCTTAAAACATAGAGCTGCTACTTAACAAATTTCTCTAATTGCAGGCTATTTTTAGCACTCGATAAATGAGAGACGATTTAACATTTGAAATTATTCACAATTTCTTTTCAGGTCCAGATGTTGTTGGAGCTTCATGAGCTCTTGCATTGACATAATAACAAACAAAAGAAAATGTTGAGCATTTTCGACAATTCATTCATTATATTTTGTCAACAGCCTGAACCCATCCCGCATGTTTGATTACAACTTCCCCCCCATTCGCTTCTCCACAGGGGAACTTTCCCGTCCTCTTGTTTACACTGTGTGATAGTTTGCAGGGAAGCAGAGACGCAGACATTCAAATTCAAGCAATCAAAGAGGCTGTATTTATTTAAACTTTAGCTAAGAACCTGCAGCAGACCGTGTGTAGTGGCTCAATCAGACTTCAAAAGCTCCCCTTGCGTAAAGCGACAGACTTTTAGACCAGTGGCGTCTCGTTCATGGCACCATGGGTAAATAAAGTGTAGATTTCACAGGGCACGAGCAAAGTCCTGTTAGTTTTCTGAGTCCCGGGTTTTGATTCCACCTCCAGGTCTTTCTCTGTGGAGTTTGCATGTTCTCCCTGTGTCTGTGCAGGTGATCAGGCTCTTCTGTTATCAAAGTGTTTGGAACATACAAGGCAGAACCCCTATCTCAATGAAGTCCAATCGGGAAGTGCTCATGGTTGAAGTTACCGGCTATGGCTACTATTGACTTGCATTGAAAAGTAAACTCACCATTTCGCACTCACCATTTTGGGCTTAAAACATCCGTGGTTTAGGGATGTCTGTGATTCTGGTGTTTTTATATTGATTATTGTCTTTCTAAACCCAGATCTGAGCCATATAAGGAGCACAGGGACTGGCTTCCTGCTGGTGCTAGAGTCAGGACTACACATGAGGAGGCAGCGTTTCAAATGTATGCAGCTAAAGTCTGGATAAATAATGTCTTCCAGAAAATGTGAGACAGGCTTCTTCTCTGACAATGTTCAAATCCAGATTAATAACAGCTCTGTTTAGCTGTGCATACAACTGAAAGATTGTATTTTCACTTTCTTATTTACTGTGATTATTTAGGAATTTGAATGCCATATAGGATTGAGTTTGCTTCTTGTTTTGTTAAGCACTTTGAGTAGCCTTGTGTATGAAGTGTGCAATACAAATAAACTTGCTTTTTACCGAAAATTGTCCTGAACTCAATGTATTTTGTACTACACCAGTTCAAAAAGCATGCACACAAAAAATAACCAGTACATCATCAAACTTTGGATTAATGAGAATGAGAAAAGCTCTTTTGAAAGTGACAAAAAACTGGTCACTCAATACGTTGTGTGGTTCAAAAAACAAGGGCATAAAGCTGGGGTAACTTTCACACCACAAACATTGAATTTTTTTTATAATAAGCTAAATAAAGTATGTATCTATATAAGTAGTTGGTACAAACAAAATGTATCATATATGAAACGGAAAATTCTAAATCTACTCAATGTGTTTTTGTATAGCCTTGAATCACAACAGCAGTCGCCGGAAGACAAAGTTGCCGATTCTCCAAACAAACACATAGGAGCCATGGATCCATAGGGAATGGGGTGACCACTGTCTATAAATGTTAATAAAGGTCCATAAATGTTCGGAATCATCAAAACGTGCCATGACAGTGATCCAATTCACACGGATGTTACGGCATGAGAAATCAGGAACTGTTCAAAAAACATCCAAACCCGTCCTATAAACACCTAAAAACCACATTTCCGTTACCCAGTTTGCCCATTTCACCCTGGTTGCCTTTTCTCTGCAGTTGTGTTCCTAATCCAGTCCACACAAAGTGACGACACAGTTTGTCCCCATCTCACAGAAAAACAGAAAAACGACTCAATTAACCAGCTCCTCTGAATGAGCGCTGACCAGTGCCAACGCCGCAGAGACACAAGAAGCAAGCAAGCGTTCAAACAACCCCTGATCGGATATATACGCTTTGACGCTATGGTCCGGACCATGAGCTCATTCACAGAGCTTTCTATACGACTGGCTGACCACTGAAAGGAGAGGTATTGCTAAAGCTAGCTGGAGCCAATTTCCCTATATGGGCATTTTGCACCTCAACTGGGCAGAATTATTGCCAAGACAGTTGCAACTAAGAGCTGGAATTAAAGCTGTGAATGAAAGCATCTGATTGGTCCAATTCTATTTTGGCTCATTTCTGGATTTACAAGACAAGGCCAAAATGTGGAGTGTGACACAAACGGTTACTGAGTTAGAGGAGTTTACTTTTCAATCTCAAAAGGAGCCAAAGCGAATTAGAGCAAATCTTTGTACATGAGCACTTCTCTATTGAGCTAGCGGGTTTGCATGTATACAGTCTATGGTTAGAACATTGTTAACTGATCTAGCAGTCTGTTTTTTTTTTTTTTTTAAGATCAATCCATGCTTGTATTAGGAACTTCTGAGACAAACATGTAACTCCGCCCCTTCCGTCTAAAAGCTCCCGTCTCACTCCTACAACAGTATGACGTCATTGTACCACTATGACATCACAGATTAAAACCTAAGTATTGCACATAAATTAGTTTTTTAGTCAATTTCTCAGGTAAAATAATGTTTTTTACAATCACATGGCTGTGTTGGAAGCTGGTCATTTTCACAAAAATCCTACTCCTCCCTCTGGTGGTAGCATAGGGACAAGACACGCTAATAGCATTATTAACCCTCCATACATGTTTAACCATATATTTTTAATTGTTTATCATTTCACATTCTAAAACATGAAATGACAAAGTATATAGTTTCATGATCTTTTTTTTGGCCAAATAGAATGCATACTATTTCTTCTTTAAAATAGTTTGTAAGGAGATGGTCGTGATGCATTCAAGTCATGTAGGACGTTGGAGCGTCCAAGTGGCAGCACAGGCAGAGGGCTGTGGGCCACGTTGAGCAGAAGCCAGGTTGGATTCAGAGTGGTGTTGTTGGAGGACTTTCGCTGCTATAACACACACAACCGTATAGCTTACATGTTTAGGATTCCCTCACGCCATTTGACAAAAATGTCTTGTAAAAGTGATACGGGCTATCCTCCTGGAAAAGGGACGAGAAATGATTATTACTGAACTATAAACCGCATCAGCTACATTTGAAAAGAAAGAAGTACATATTGTCCATATAATTTGTAAATGTCTTTATATAAGAATAGGGTAGGAGTTTATAAGATTTTTTGTTTCTTCATCCTACTCCTGTTCTACCTTTAATGGAATGTATTACTGCTGTATTTGCTGGATTATTGTTATATTTTGTTGCATTACCATGAAAAAAGGGAACAAAATTACAAACTAAAATAAAGGCAACACTTAAGCAGCAGGTTGTCATGTTGTAATATACCGTAACACTCGGCAAAACAAAGCTGATAGACCGTTTTAATTGGACACAACAGGATTTAATGACGAGGTGTTTTCACGCACTGTTGACTTGTGGTGGACAAAGCACTCAAGTTAATCGAGTCTCTTTTGACAATAACATTCACACTAAAACTTGTGAGAGTGAAGTTGTGAGTTTCCTTGTATCACTTCTCTCTGCTGTTCACATAAACACACCTAGAAGAAGGAGTGCTACGTTATTAGCTGATAGAGCTGTGTCCAAATCTTTTCCTGCCTCCCAGGGGACACTGAAACAAAATAAAAATACATATATCGGCTGCATCGCTATATAAGCAACAAAGTTAGAAGAACTTGAACAAGTAGTAGCTTATAGTTCAACAAGTGCCGTAATCTCTGCTCCATAAGTGCAATTTCCTTGAACCTTACGGCCTATTGAGCGATGCTAACGTGAGTTATTGTTTACCTCATCAGAGTTCATTGTTTTGTTAACCTTTAGCTTTGTCCAAAACAAGTCAACAGTGTATTAAAAAACATGACATTCAATCATTCAATTGTGACCTGTTAAAACTGTCGTCTGCTGCTTATACTCAAGTGCAGGCTATATGTTTACAAAATATACTTTATTGAGCAATTTTTCTGGTGCAGCTTATACCAGAGGTGCACTCAGTCGTCCAGGAAGTACTGTATCTATAATCCTTGTTTCAACTTTCAACGCTATGTTTATGCATCAAAATGTATACAAATTAAGTGAAAAATAATGCAAAACTCCTTATACTCACTTGTTTATGAAGTTCAACCCTTACCCTAACCCCAACCCATCAAGCAGAGGTACATTTATGTTTTTTTTCCCCCATATAGGATGCTAGATATTATTTGGCATTATCTGAGTATCATATTTTTATCATTATAATATAGAGTTTTAGGCATGACAGAGGCTAACCAGCAATGTACTGTACCTACTAACGTGTTTATTTCATCTGGAATAAAGTCTTAATAATTTAGAAGTTCACAAAATTTGATAGACTTTTTTGATAAAGAAGGCTGAAATTTAACTAGGTTTTTTCGGCTTGATTTTAGATTTCTCGAACAATCTCTGACAAACCAGATGGTACTTCCTGAACTATGCTGTTCATAGTCACTGCGCACCTAACATCCACTGAAATCTCTCCTCCTCTTGTTGCTCATCTTGCTTTATAACAGTAACTACAGTACGTGCTGCACTATTAAACACACTTAAACAAACCGCACCAGCCGTGACTTCAATACTGGTTCTCCCAACGCCTCCTTCCTCCACACACAGGTGACCCTTCGCTCCCTGCACCTCTCTGTAACTGACACTTTAGCCTGTAGAATATGACACATGAGCTGGCACAGGGCGTCCTCTGTCCATCCACCTTCACCTGTCCCACAGCGGGACGTCCTGCCCGCACAACGCCCCCCGCTGGAGCCAGAGGGAGGAGCAGATCGCTGCCAAATGCTAATTGCTATTTCACCTGCCTGCCCCCGCCCCGCTGCGCCCTTCCGTCAGCCCCCGTCACCATCAGAGCTCATTATCAGATGGTCGGTCCCTGTGCTGCGGAGTGGGACTATTTTGAGAGATGGCCTAATTGAAAAGAGCGGCGGGATACAGGAAAAATGGATCCGCCGCCATGTCCTTCGTTAACCTTGACACAGTTGTGCTTGATATTCCCTATTAGCTGCAAACACATGGTGACAGATGGGCAGCGGTAATGAGAGCTGCATGGACAACAAAGCCAAATAGTTTGTTTTGCCAATTAGCGATAATGATAATAGGTAAACCAAAACAAAATGCTCTGACAAAACGTTGTCACCGGTTTGAACTCTACATCAATGTCTTTCAAATAAGTCCCATCGGGGATAATTAAGTTACACTGTTTTTCTGCTCTTGTCTAATGCAAGGCAGAATTTTAAAAAGTGCAAATGAAATTCACAATTCAAAGTGCATTCACAGAGAGAGAAGAGAGAGAGAAGTCCAAGAGAATGTCAACTTGTCTTAGTCTTACTAGTTCATAGACAAGGCAGCTCAAAGGGCTCAAAGAAATGGTAAAGATACAATCCTTCAGTTGTATGTACAGCGAAAGAGAACTGTTTTTAACCTGGATTTGAACATTGTCAGAGTCAAAACCTGTCTCACATTTTAAGAGACTGTTCCAGATTATAGCAGCATAAATCACCAGCAGGAGCCCAGTCCCTGTGCTCCTCAGAGAACCCAGCATGAGGCCAGTCCCTGTGCTCCTCAGAGAACCCAGCATGAGGCCAGTCCCTGTGCTCCGCCGAGTCCCAGTAGGTCAGTCCCTGTGCTCCTTAAGAGTCCAAGTAGGTGCGAGGCCAAGTGGAGCTGCTTTAATGTCTATTCTCTGAGCCACAGGTAGCCAACGCAGAGACCTGATTTCTTATGCTCAGTAAATGATGCATCCCAAAATTTTCCAAAAGTCAAAAATCTTATACCCACCGAGCAAAACCAAACGTTTTTCTTCCTTACACACTGAGCATTTAACCTGCCTCATGACCTAGTCTCTTTGTCGAGGTGTGTTCAGTTGGAATTTCCTCAGTCATTTTGACAGCAATGAAAAAAACTATTCTATATCCCACTGCATACAAGTGGGTCAGTTGAAGAATGGTATAAAACAACACATAAGTCACACGCATGAGATTACTTTGCATTATGTCAGCGTAACGAGCACATACCAAGAGTGAAGCTCTTTCCATCAACATTTAGCAGCATTTTTTTCTTTCATATTATCATTATTATTATTATTATTATCAATCAAAGTTGTCCTTCTTATAAAACATTATAATGAGAACATTTATGGCTTCACATGGATATAAACTAGTTCATTATAAAGCGATTCCCTCTGGTCCTGGGTGACTAATACATTATTATAACCACATGCTTAAAACCACCAGGGTCATGTCGGACTGTGGAGAAAGTGTTTTTGATTTTTGACCACATCACTGCCCTCGGAGCTTGAGAATTTATGCAAAATGACCGCATGCAAATCTCCATTGTGCTGTGTGTGGCATTATTTGTTCACTACATGCAGAACAGAAGCAATAACCACCACTCACTCTCCAACCACACTCATTTTAAGCAAGTCCCAAGTGGTATAAGTCAAAGTCAAGTTTATATACAGTACAGACCAAAAGTTTGGACACACCCACCCATCGCAAGAGTTTTTTTATCTTCATGACTATCAACATTGTAGATTCACACTGAAGGCCTCAAAACTATGAATAAACTCATGTGGAATTATGTAAGTACCAAAGTATGAAACAACTGAAAATGTGTCCTATATTCTTGGTTCTTCAAAGTAGCACATTTTGTTCTGATTTCTGCTTGACACACTCTTGGCATTCTCTTGATGAGCTTCAAGAGGTAGTGACCTGAAATGGTCTTCAACAGTCTTGAAGGAGTTCTCAGAGATGCTTAGCACTTGTAGGTCCTTTCGTCTTCACTCTGTGGTCCAGCTCACCCTAAAACCACCTGGATTGGGTTCAGGTCTGGTGACTGTAGAGGCCAGGTCATCTGGCCCAGCACTCTCCTTATTGGTCAAACAGCCCTTACACAGCCTGGGTGTGAATCTACAGTCAATAGTCATGAATGAGAAAGTGTGTCCAAACTTTTGGTCTGTGCTGTATGTCGACCAAAGTAGCATGCACTCCACAAGGTATAAAACATTAAGACACCTAAAAAAACACAAAATCAGATTTTTCTTATAAACAGCGTGAAAAGACATATTAGACGTAAAAAAAACTAAAAATAATGAGAAAAAAACCTATGACCCGAGCCATATGAACTGGTTTGGACTTGCATGGACTGGCCCCTGCGGGTGCTCAGGACTAAACATGGGGAGGCAGCATTTCAGATTCATGCAGCTAGAATATGGAATGGTCTTCCTGACAATGTTCAAAACTAGGTTGAAAAAAGCCCCGTTTTAAAGAGTTTTAAGCCCAACATTTCTATGCTGCACTGTTTTGATATGAAATTGTTGTATATCAGAATCAGAATCATTTTTATTGCCAACGTAAGTAACGGGAGGTCACAGACTTGGAAATTGCTTTGGCTCAGTGCAACAGTCAAAAAGAGATAATAAAAATAAGAATAAAAAACACTTCTAAAGAATAAATTTAAATTTAAAATAGAGTTACAGTTACTATTTACAATATACAAGTGCACATGGTGCACACAATGTAAGGTGACAGCAGTACAGTGAAGTAAAGTGACGTATGATGGGCAGTAAAGTGACTTTATAAAGGGCGGGGGGACAGGTTAAGAAGTGTTCAAGAGTCCAACAGCAGAGGGGAAGAAACTGTTCTTGTGGCGGGAGGTTCTAGTCCTGATGGACCGCAGCCTCCTGCCTGAGGGGAGTGGTTGGAATAGTCCATGTGCAGGGTGAGAGGGGTCGGCTGTGATACGACCAGCCCGGCCTCGAGCTCGGGCGACGTACAGGTCCTGCAGCGATGGAAGGCTGCGGGCCGATCACTTCCTCTGCAGAGCGCACAATGCGCTGTAGACTCTGTTTGTCCCTGACTGTGGCTCCAGCGAACCACACGGTGATGGAGGAGGTGAGGATGGACTCGATGATGGCCGTGTAGAACTGCACCAACATCTGTGCAGGCAGCTTGGCTTTCCTGAGCTGCCGCAGGAAGTACATCCTCTGCTGGGCCTTCTTGATGAGGGAGCTGATGGTCGGCTCCCACTTGAGGTCCTGGGTGATGGTGGTGCCCAGGAAACGGAAGGACTCCACAGAGGTGATGGGGGAGTCCATCACGGAGGGTGGGGGCGGGGGGACAGTGCTCTTCCTGAAGTCCACAATCATCTCCACTGTCTTGATGTATTGATGTATCTGTGTTGGTTCTTTGATCTGTTATGTGTAATGTTGATCCATGTTTTGTTTTTTCACTTGTGAAGCACTTTGAATTGTTTTGTGCATCTATTGTGCTATATAAATAAATGTTGATTGTTGCAAAACATTTCAGTTTAATGGAAGGAAACCGTAACGTGAATAATAAAAAATAAACATATGAAATCCACAACTTAAAACAAGCCAGTACCGAGGGAGAGACAAAGGACGGACTCGAGGTGGGTAAAAGTACAGGGTATAAAGACACACAGAGAGACCAAGGTGAATCAGATCAGGGCGGAGCAACATTCAATGGGACAGGAAGGAGAAGTAAAAAAACACAAAGAAAAAAAAAAAAAAAAAAAAAAAAAATTCCGGGTTCAGAACAAAAGGCCACACGATGACACTTTGAGACCAACAGGGTTCTAAACAAGACAATACTGTGGTCAACTGTATCAAAGGCAGACGACATGTACACAAATGTTATACAAACTTAAGGTGGGAATGCAACGGCGTGTGTGCAACCTTTTTAAAAACTTTGAAATGTCTTCAGACGCAATCGGTTCCAAGCGTAGCTCCCATGAGACAAGAATTTACTCTCATTTAAATAATACATTGAATTCGATTTATTTTTGTGCAGCCCTAAATCACAACAGCAGCCGTCTCAAAGGACTTGTCAATTCCTCAACAACAGATCAGAGAATCTAACTGTTCGAACACAGTGAATGCAATAATAACACACATAAGCCCCATTTCCACCAGCCCTACTCGGCTCTACTCGGCTCTACTCTACTCTACTTGGCTCTACTCTACTCTACTCTACTCTACTCTACTCTACTTGGCTCTACTCTACTCTACTCTACTTGGCTCTACTCTACTCTACTCTACTCTACTCTACTCTACTTGGCTCTACTCTACTCTACTCTACTTGGCTCTACTCTACATGGCTCTACTCTTCTCAGCTCTACTCTACTCTACTCTATTTGGCTCTACTCTACTCTACTCGGCTCCACTCTACTCTACTCGGCTCCACTCTACTTTACTTGGCTCTACTCTACTCGGCTCTACTCTACTCGGCTCTACTCTACTCTACTCAACTCTTCTCTACTCTACTCTACTCGGCTCTACTCTACTCGGCTCTACTCTACTCGGCTCTACTCTACTTTTCCCTACTCTACTCAACTCGGCTCTACTCTACTCTTCTCTACTACTCTACTCAGCTCTACTCTACCGTGATTGGCAGCATTTCCACTGGCCCTGTTTAACTATACCAGGTGTATTTAGAGTTCCTGCTTGGCTCTGCTTCAATCCAGGCCAAACTGGTACTAAAGTGTTCTAACTGACAGTGATTGGTCAGAGTGTTGCTGCAAACCATGGTTACCAAGGAATTTATCCGGATACTGGATTTGGTGTGAGTAGATTGCTATAGGATATACAGTAGTCCCAGATACTGAATAATGGTAATGGAAACAGAACCAGGTAGAGTAGAGCCGGGTAGAGTCAGGCCAATTAGGGCTGGTGGAAACAGGGCTATAATGTCCTTAAATGTCCCAGATCATCACTCTCCTGCATCAGAAAGGAACAGGCAAAAAAAAAAAAAAAAACGTGGGGAAAAACATAATCCTTCAGGTCCATATTGAGAGAGAGACAGACAGGCTATAGATCTGAGGCTGTAGAACGAGGACTGAGGCTGTTTTGTGGATCTGAGGGGGCTCCCAGGCGAGGAGGGGGGTCCAGTCCACAAGTCCAGGCCAGGGGCAACCAGTTCACAGGTGCAGGTAAAAAAGGCCAAATAAACTTTTACTACTGGATCAAATATGAAAATATGACTGACACTAACCCTGCATACCTAAACTAATGCATGCTTTTGTGGTTCTCATTTCTTACACGTCACGCAGACGATCCCCATTTCCTCAAACCTGTCTTTCCTCACGTTCTGCACTTTTCTGTAATGGCTTTGTGGTTCAACTCTGAGCCTCTCACAGTTTTACAGGTTCTTGGTCTTTCCTGCCGTGTCTTCGGGCTTTAGGCAGTGCAGGCTAACACAACACACGCACACACCTGTCCGACACGGAGCCTCAAGGCAAATCCGCTAGAAATGTGCCTTAGCTAACAAAGCAAAAAGAATGATCGCTTCTGTCTGGAAGTATCAAAACAAACTAACGAATAGAGCGAACAAAGAATGAATTAAAGAAAACAATGCTAGAGTTTCATAACCACATTTTTGAGTTTGTAACCACATCACATCATTGCTCTGGAATCAAAAACAGACCCAGAGTTGGTTTTAGATCCATCCGTAATATCAATAGACAAAACAAACATGTAACTTTGTGTGTCGAATTCTGTCTAAAATCTTTCATCCCATTCCGTGTTCAAGGCATCTCGAAAAAGGGGAATGGCCGCTGCCTAACTCGGAAACTCATGAATTGAATTGAAAGTAATCAGTCCTGGAAATGTATGATGTCATTGGACCACTATGACATCACAGTCACTTACACACATCACAGGTTTCTGCCTTTTAATAAATAAAAGTGCTCCTCATAAATTAGTTTTGGCAATTTCTCAAGTGAAATTGCAGTTTTACAGTCCAATTCCTGTGTTTTCAACTGGTAATTTGCAAATTTTGGAAATAAAAACAAAACAGATTGGACTCCTCCACCTGGTGGTAGCATAGGGAGTTACAGGCGGGCCGCAATATTTACCCTTCATACTTGTTTCCCCCAATAATTTTGTTTTTTTTATACAAGATGTTATTTCATATTCTAAAAAATAAAAAGACAAAGTAAACAATAATATAAAGTAAATAAGTTTTATTGTAATGGCCAACAATAATGCATGTTATTTATTTTATTTATTTTTTTAATTTACCATTGATTCATGTTGTATAATCTTCTGCAATTTGTGATGTACTGAATTGTGACCTGCTCCTATCATTCAGTTTTCTGCAATAATTTGAGAACCTTGTCACATTCAAACAATACAACACGTTATTTGCATTTGTCAATATCAATATGGTACTTATTCCTCACCGCCCTGAACATAGCCCAAGAGTGGGGTAAACACATAATGTCATATTAAAATGGAGGATCGCTGTCAAAATGCCTTAAAACATTCCTGAAGGAGAATCTTCTAACCCTCAGATGGCATCAAAAGTGCATGGATACCACTCCCTACGGACCAATGGCTTCTTTGTGTTTGTTATTAGTTCCTGTATTCGAACTGTTTGATTCCCCTGATCTGTGTCGGCGAATAGACAACTTTATAAAGTCCTTTAAGATGACTGCTGTTGTGATTTATGGCTAGAGAAAAATACATTTATATTGAGCTAAAGTTTTGTTCCAATCAAAAAGCCTCAACATGGTTTTTACTTGTAAGTCGTCTATCTAACATGGTTTTATGAATGTACTCTTTTCTATTCTGTATTAATGCATTTCCTGCGCTGTTTGTTTATCTGATCTGTGTTGGCGAATCAAAAATGTTGTATAGTCCTTCAAGACGACTGATTTTGCAATTTAGGGCTATACAAAAATGTGTTGAATTGAACGGATACAAACAGCAAAACAGTGAAAACTGAATATTTTTCAACCTTCCTTTTGCCTATAATCTTATCTGTTTGACTGCTGCGTGTACTTCCTCCTCTGCTCTCTGGGGTCCTGCCATAAAACCCTGCTGCCCGGGACCCCCTGCTAAACGCGAGCTTGTAATATCTATGATGGAGGAATTTAGACCGGTCCTGCTGCTACTGAACCCCATTGAAGCCGATCTGAGTAAGCGGATCAGAGCAGGGCCTGGAGTGTAATGTAAATGCCCTGTAAATAGACCCTTGCAATCCCATTGTTGGGGTAACATCTGCCTCGGCGTCTTCCCATTCACCTGCTCCTGTCCCCTCCTTGTCGAATGAATAGTACTGTTAAATAGGCCGCGATGAGAACCTAATGTGTGTCTTCAAACTGGACGCTTTTTTATTTTTTGGGGGATTTTGGAGGATTTTTGCATTGGGGCAGCTGGACCACACACTCGCGGGACAATTGAAATGGCCCTCCACCAGCTACTCCACAGGGGCACCACTTGTTCTTGCTCCGAAGTGGGACGGGACACCCCCTTTTACAAGGCTCGCGGGCCACCCGGATCTACCCCGCCATCCATTACGCCGGTGGCAGCGACCGAAGGAGCCAAAAACTCAGCTCAAGTACGACTAACATGGGAAATGGACAAGCAAATGTGGGATGGAGGCTGGCATTGAAGTTTAGTAGTGATAGTATTTGGATGGCAGTTAAGAAGTTGAGAGCAAGTAAGTGAGTAGGTAATCTTTACTTACAGTGTATATAGCGCATTTCACAGACCAAAGTCACACAAAGCACTTTTGCGTACCAGTAGTTCCCATTAACCCTACACCCAAGTCCCTGACCGTCACTGTCTATATTCACTCACTCATTACATAAGAGTGCACATGTTGTTAGTATAATGGGGGGAACCGGAGCACCTGGAGGAGCCCTACACAGACACCGGGAGAACGTGAAAACTTGAACTTCTGGACCATTTCAGATACATTTCTTCAGGAATTTCACTATTATGAGATTCTAAATGTCTGCGCAATCCACTTGTCGACCAGTGACGTGCGGTGTGGTTTGGAGGCACTGAATTCAGCTCTGTCAGATGAACATATATCATATAAATCAACAGAACCTACAAAGCGGCTTATTCACAATTAGTTTGGCTACAGCAGAATGTTTTCCATGGCCCGCAAACGTTCGTAAAAGGCACATTTCCAATTGTGTTATGGGTCTTACCTTAGTTATTAATGAACAGCACAGACCACTTCGGTTCAGACCAGTTTCATGTTTAAGTCCAGATAATAGTTTGAGCACAGATATGTAATCCCCCATTTGGAAATAAGCCCAAAGAGTTTTAAAGCGTAAAATAAAACAGGTGCCACCTCCATAAACTCCTCTGTGTTTTCGCTGCAGCCGGCTCTCGGGCGCATCCAATTTCCAAAATCAACCTTCTTACTCTTCTCCTCTCTTCCTTATCATTCCTATCGTCATTGGAAGCGGAACATTACCCTAAATGCATTTTATATTATCTTAAAATGTGTTATATGTAGCCAAACCTGTTGCTGCCCTTAGCAGATGGAAAAAAAGAAAGGAGCTTTCTGATAGAATTGGACGTAACCAAATTCTGGGCTCACATGTGCCCCGTACCCTGAGGCTGGCCTCATTACAAGTCGTGGTTTAGCGCGATTAAGACCCATATTTGTTGTCAAAAACACAATTTATGAGCCATCCTCTCAGCTGTATACATGTTGATTGTAAATGAAATATGTTTGAACTTTGAACAACAATAAACGTGCTCTATAATAGGAGCGCACTGGATTTTTTTTTAAACTTTCATTTCCCGTTTCCCGTCATAACCTTTCCCGGGAATCGGGAAATAGTTTTGATCAGATTTCCCGGGAATCCCGTGTCCCGGGATTAAACCCTAGAGGACACCGTGCTGAGGGGCAAGAGCAGGACTGATGGCTACGGGAAGATCGTTAATATATTCAATAGCGGCCTATATGTGGACTAAATTAACTTTCTTTTAAAATGTTGCTGGTGCAGTTTGTATACAGGTGCGCTTATTAGTCCAACAAGTGATTCAATTCAAATTAATTTACTCTTGTATTGCCCTAAATCACAACAGTAGTAACTGTATCTCGGAGGTCTCTACACAACTGTTGAATTTGCCAAAACAGATTAGAGAATCAATCATCGATATTGGTCCATAAAAGGCAGATGAGCAATGTCCAAAAGTGTTGATACATGTCTATAGTGAGTAAGTAAGTAAGCTTTATTTATACAGCGCGTTTCACAGACCAAGGCCACAAAGCGCTTCACAGTTAAAACAGACAAAATACAATTTAAAATGTGCGTACAAAAAATAAAAATATAATGGCCAAGACAACTCAGTGACAGGTTTGAAACAGTTGCATGAAAAGTATGTAAAAGCTTGCCCAAATAAATACGTTTTTAGCTGACCTTTGAAGGACTCAACCGACTCCATCAGCTGCAGAGAGAGCGGAAGATTGTTCCAGAGCTTAGGCGCAACAGCCTGGATGGACCGGTCTCCCCTGGTCCGAAAGCGCGTGCATGGGATCATCAACAGGTTCTGATCCACAGACCTCAGGGCCCGAGTGGGGGTATAAGGCTGAATCAGATCGCTGATATAAGGGGGAGATGGTTATAGAATGTTGAGTGTCCTGGATCATCACCACATCTTTTTAGTTGGACATCACAAGACCCTCCTGCATCGACAAGGAAAAACTCGAAACCCAGAGGGAAAAGGTAAGAAACCTCGAGGAGTTCGACATTGAGAGAGAGATCCGGACGGGCTATAGATCCAGGACTTGAATGAAGAAATATAACAGATTTTACTTCTCTTTTGTTTCTTAGTTTAATTCTTTTTTCCATATTTCTACGTTTTCACGGCTCCAATGGGAGAGGGGGGTGAGTGAGCATCCAACCAACTCCAGACTCACATTTGCTAAATTTAGAACATGAAGGGGGCATGGGAAGGCTACGACTAAATGAAGAATAGTCGTATGGCGTATAGGCCTCTCATATATCAAACCGTTGGAGAGCACTTGTTTGCGGTTTGAAAGTTCGGCACCCCCGCTGTACAAGTGCCACAAGTATGAGCTCAAATGGTACCACAGTTATAGAAACACCGGACTCATCATACATCATCCCCACTACTGAACACGTCCCGCTCTGTCCCTCTTCCAGAGCGCTCGCCGGGCAGTGGAGGGGTGATGGATGCGGCACAGCGCCAATGGGACACCAGCGGAGAGACACCCCCACCTCTGAACAGCCCACCACACTCATCTTTCACCCACCACGACCAACAAAGAGAGGGAGGGGATTAAATATGGCAGAGGGCAGACAGTGGAAGACCGGGAAGAGAGGGGGGGTTAGAGGAGAAGGCAAAAATGTAAGGGATTAAAAAGTGTCAAAGGAAAGACAGCAAACAAACAAAATGAAGATGAAAATATACCGCAATTTGGATTTGTGGTAGAGTTGTGGTATACTTTGTTTACTGTTCGATCACTATATCACGGTTTGCATGCTTTTTTTTACAGCATGCTTCACCAATAACATCACCTACTGTACAACATCATAGAACCGCTAGAATACATGCATCAAGAGTTCCGGGCTTACGGGGACCGGAATTGTGTTGTTTTTAACTGTCCTAACAGTGGGCAACGACTCGGGAAGTGGAGTGTCTCGATGTGCGAGCTTCACGGCTGTAAGAACGGCACTGAAACCGTACTGCCCGTTACCCATGGACAACGTATCGCACTGTAAGAAAAAAAATGGGGCGCTACAACTGAAAATGTGCAGCTTTGGGCAAGTTTATAAAGCTTGTGTGTAAGCATTCGGTCCTCGTAAGTTGCATAAGATACATGTAGCTCTATAGTCAGTCGGTTGTGTTTACATCTAAAAGCACATGAAAAAAATGCATTGCTTCTTTGTTAAATTAAAACATCTCTACCTTACCTTCAAACTTCTGGAAATTGGTGGTTTTTTTAGCTATTAAAATAATCTATGGGCTGGTCAATCGTTCGCGACAAGTACAATACGGCGGTTGTGATTTGATGCCCACCTTTTTGACCCACCTACCCACAATGCTGTGCGGTCGAACCGGACGCTCGGAATTCTTGATGCATGCATAACATGACAGTTTCCTTTTAGGTCGGGAGAAAACTTTTTTGGCTTGTGTGCACCGCTATATCTATTGTCAGACCAAAACACCTGTGATAAACGAGGGATCACTGAATATGTAATTCAGTTATTATTAATAATTAAAATGCAAAAAATCTGGGTGAAAAAATCTCAAATGTTTAGACTCTCCAGAGCACTGCGTAAAAAAATGCATCTACAGTATAAACCAAGAGAAGATACCACATAACATGCAGGAGGTTTTTATTTCCCACAGATCAAGTTATTTTTTGTTTTAAGTAAATAAAACAGCGAAAAAAGCCATATTTAGTTCAAAGTTAATATTTCCCACTGCTTTTTTTGGTGACGTTCATTACTGATGCAGGAGGGTCTAAGGGGAGTGATGATCCGGGACCTTTAAGGACATTTATGGACTGTGGTCATCCTTCTCCCTTTGCACCAATGGCTCCTATGTCTTTGTTATGAATGCATTTCCTGCGTTCAAACTGTATTATTCTCTGATCTACAGTTTTCTTAAGGAATCAACAACTTTGTGAAGTCCCCCAAGACGACCGCTGTTGTGATTTAGGGCTATACACAAACACTTGTCATTGAATCTAAATTGATTTTAGTTGTGTTTTCTCTCTTAAAAAGTTCCTGGGCTGTGTTTCACATGGAAATCCATAGTGCAAAAAGGGTTAACTGGATGGACTTGTACTTTTAATCATGAGAGTGTGCCCAGTGTAAAAATAAGGCCGTCTTAAGTGCTCGTTCAGATCAGTGGAGTGACGAATGGTTCCCTGAGTGCTGAGATAACCCCAGACTCCATCAGTCTCTCTGGGCCTAACCTTCATGTGACAGACGAGGCCAGCTCTCTTCACAGACTCTAAACAAACACTTATGAACAACCTGACTGATGCAAAGCGATCACTTAAAGACGACACAGAGAATATACTGGGATTATCTGGACTGAAAATAACTTCTGAAAAATGTTGCAACTTTGGTTAGGGCCTGTAGAGAATGATACAAAACATGGAAACTGATTCTTTCACTCGTAGGTTTTGGAATTATAGATGGTGTGTTATGCCACGACACTACAATCTTATTTACTGTGTTAAAAAGGTATAGGTACAGTATATGGGAGGATTTTCTTCATCCAGGTGGATTATCTAGACCAGTGGTTCTCAGCGTAATAAGCCTAAGTATTCATCAAAAACAAGGCAGAGGTTTCATTCCTAAAGAAGTATATTTAATATTGTCAGCCATTGTAACATTTTACACAGTTTCAACAGTAAGACTTAAATATGGGGAAAAAAACTAAAAAATGTACTTAAATAAGGATTCATTACGATCTGCAAAGCTTTGACTCACCACTTTGAGAACCACTGATCTAGACTATTGGTCTTCCTTATTGTCAATCATTCTGGTGATATGTGAGACATGTATTAATAGGCGTTCCATCTGTGGAGGGCGGTTCTTTCCTAAAATTTGGAAAAATCCTCCTGTATACCTTTAACATAACATTTCAGTTCATACACCACAACTTGAAATCTAATGAGACAAAAACTCTTTTTGTTTGTAGCCAGCTTTAGACAGTGTTACTACTGCAATGGTGAATACGTCTGCAATACAAGGTCTTAGAATCAAGAAGGTCTTTGAATCAGAGGTCTGAGAATCAGAGGTGTTAGAATCAGATGTTTTAGAATCAGAGGTCTTAGAATCAGAGGTTTTAGAATCAGAGGTCTTAGAATCAGAGGTTTTAGAATCAGAGGTCTTAGAATCAGAGGTTTTAGAATCAGAGGTCTTAGAATCAGAGGTGTTAGAATCAAGAGGTTTTAGAATCAGAGGTCTTAGAATCAGAGGTGTTAGAATCAAGAGGTTTTAGAATCAGAGGTCTTAGAATCAGAGGTTTTAGAATCAGAGGTCTTAGAATCAGAGGTGTTAGAATCAGAGGTCTTAGAATCAGAGGTCTTAGAATCAGAGGTTTTAGAATCAGAGGTCTTAGAATCAGAGGTCTTAGAATCAGAGGTCTTAGAATCAGAGGTCTTAGAATCAGAGGTTTTAGAATCAGAGGTTTTAGAATCAGAGGTTTTAGACTCAGAGGTCTTAGAATCAGAGGTTTTAGAATCAGCGGTTTCAGGATCGGAGGTCTCTCAGTCAGCCATTGAGTTACAGAGGTTATTGGATCAAAGGCAAGATGCAATTTATTCCAAGTTAAGTCAATCTGTGCAGACTCAGACTCTGTGTCCACAAACAGTAACAAACATGTGACAAGTTCAACACAAGGTACAGCAGAAAAACACTGCTTTAGCTCTTACTTGTACAAACACCGAGCTGGAAGTGATGCTATGGCTTCAGTTCATTGTTTAACAAAGGTTGCCGTGTCGATTGGACCAGTGTCATCCTTGTACCACAAAAAAAAACATATTATCAACACTTAAAGTTGATAATATGTTAATAATATAGAGTAAATACATCAAGTGTGTGTTTTCAAATGTTGACTAATGCTAAGCTAAACTACAACTGCAAATACAAGTTAAAGGTACTGATAAAAACAGACAAATAGATTATGTTTCTAAATTTTTCTAACATCAATAATTCAATTTGGAGAGATGAGAAAACAGGAAGTTTTGAGTATTTTATTGAAAGGAGGTTTGGCGCCCTAGGTCCCGGTGCGGCCTTCAGATCGGAAAGGCTCCTGCGATGGAGCGCGCACAATCCCCCGGGACCTAGGCACTGGTGGCGGCATTTGGCAGCGGGAAGCAGATTGAAGGCAGATTGGAGGCAGGGTGAAGAGGAGGAGGAGGGGAGGCGGTGGTTGCAAGGCTTCGGAGGCCGAGAGTGGGAGTTCCTCCGTTTTTATGCGGCTGGCGTAGTCGGTACGGTGATTGGAAGGGGGCGTCTGTTGAGCGATAGGCTGGGGATGCGAGCCGGCCTGGAGGGGGTAATTTTGGTTAACGTCTACCAAATTGAATTTTCGCGGGCTGCATTTCATTTTTTTTTCACAATTACAATTTTCCCCTTTGTTTTTTGTTTTGTCTTTTTACATTGTTTCTTGCTGAGGCAGGAGGATCTAAGGACAGGGATGATCTGGGACGTTTAAGATTAAAGGTTTAGAGGATTTTCCCAATTTTTAGGAAAGAACCGCCCTCTCCTCTACTTCCGGGTAGAAGTAGAAAATCCTCCCATATACTGTACCTTTATGAGATCCTTTAGTCGTCCCACAGCGGGGAAATTTCAGTGTTGCATCACAAGTTACAGAGCAGTAGGAATGAGGAGCACACAACACACGATAAATTATTAATCACTTAATACAAATAAAAAAATCTCTAACTCAAGCATAAAAAGAAGCAGTATAAAATCTCTAAGATAAACTTTGTTGATCTCACAATGGAGAAATGTACATAATCTCCATATTTCTATTCATTTACCCCCTCTTATCAACTTGTATGTCAACTTTTACATCTACTTTACATTTGCTTCATTTTGATTGGACGAATAGTATATGGCTCACTCCACACTGAACTGCATCAATGCGTTACATTTTGGTCAATGACACAAAAAAGTCCCAAAATGTCCGCGGCCGTTAACGCTGAATGTTCACGAACCCACTCTTGTTTTGTCCCCAGCTTGTTCGTTCACGCCCGTATTATTAACAGCGCTCCAAGACAGCCATTTTGGACATAACAAAAGTGGACACGATTGTTACGTCCAAAACACCTAATTCGCCTGCAGTTATTGAATTTTTTTTTTTTGAGTGATGTGAAATCTATAATTACATTTTGATTATAGTTTTATCTCCAACCATTAAATAGTCTTCTCTGTCCTGTTAATTCTTCCATTCACAAAGCCTCCAACACGACATGTCCTAAATATAACAATTATGTTCTCAAAAAATCCTCCTGTGGACTCACCACCTGCAGAGGGTCAGTGAGGGGCTGGTGCTATGAGACTTGGGTGGCATCTCTGATTGCGACCCCCCTGACCCAGAAATGGATTAAAGGGTAGAAAATGGATGGATGGATGGTTCTCAAAATTCAATGCAAATTTTTTGAAAGGCATCCATTTTTCTTGAAATATTTTTAGCTGCCCTTCTGAGATTACACTATGTATATATATATATATATATATATATATATATATATAGGCTACATAGTATTAAAAAT